CCCCAAATCAACTCTACTTTCATTTGAATTAATTTCCATCATTATTATTATTATTTTCCTTGAAGTTACTAACGTGTGTATTATTTTGTAGTTACAAGCAATCAAAGTAAGGAACCATATTCCTTTTGTTCCTCTTATATTTCTAACGAGTTTCATTATGATTGTCATATATTAATTGTTAGATTAATTGTAGAATTACTTCCAATATTGATGTTATTCTATTGTTTTATTGTTGATCACTGTATTGCATGTTTAAAGGGAATATGTAATTGAATATACACCTAATAAGATAATTTGGACAACCGGTTTAGGTTTCTTTTTAATCTTGTTGTTAATCAAGTGATCACAATATTTTAGAATTAAATGTTGCATTAATATTCAACCAATTTAGCCTAATTTAGTTTGGAGCAAATTGAATCTTTGTTTGTGCACCTTTGAGATTGCAGGAATTACTTTTCACAAGAAGAATCGAGTAGAGGCCAATACGGGCGAATGTGACTCCATGACTCACTTCGTACCATCATCTCCGATCCTCCTTTCGTGGTTCGGAACCATATGAAGTTAGTAATCTCAAGGATTATGAATGGAGTGTAACCTTCATGGGTCAATCGTTGTTGCCTTTCGTTGTCCCTTTATCGTGGTTTCCTTATTATGATCCATGAACGGTTTACAAGTTCCTTAAAAACTTGTTGGTGGCTCTCTACTTTCCTTGTCCCTAATTGTGTCCCTAATCGTATATCAATTCACATTTCCTATGAGTTCCAAGCATATTCACAACATGCTTAACTAGACGCGCTTTGAATGACGCCTACACTGAGGATCCAATGCGCTTCTTAACAAAAGTGATTAAGGCATGAACAAAAATACCTCACATGGGAATTTTGTGTATCAAATACTAACTTGAAGGTATCAAATCCTTCATGAAAAGCAACGCCATCTTACCACTTGCAATGAACTAAGGCTTCATGGACCCTAAAGTTCTTAAACCGGCTACCTTAGCATATCATATCCTAGAGACATTCTCAAGGCGTGCAAACTTCTACCATTTAGAAAGAAAAGCATTCAAATGAACAACTCTAAAAGTATTATTTTCAAAGTAAGAACAAAACAAAGACACATTGCAATATTTACCTCAAAAGAAAATCTTTTTGGAGTTTTGAAAAATGACCAAAAGTAAAGAAAGAAAAGAAAAGAAAAGAAGCAGATGCACACAAGAAAATATTTTTTTTTGTTTATTTATTTTCTTTTTAGAATGGAGCATAAAAGGCAAAAGTTAAGCAGGCAAATAATTCCCAATCATCAAACAAGGATTGTTCGGCATCAATACCAACGATCACCCGATTTTGAAGAATCAAAAGCATACAACCTCGAACCGTTCAACTCCAATCTAAACTAAAACCTAAGCTATACACACAAGAAAAGAAATGGAGAAAAAAGAAAAGAAAATAGAAAGATCTCACCAAGAAATTCCAAGCTAAAAGAACAAATGCAACAACAAGGAAGCTTTCACCAATTTCCCATGCGACAAATGCTCCAATAGAAGACATACAAGGTGAGAAAAGAAAAGAAAAGAGAACAAACTATACACAAAAGGAAGTTAGTAACTTCAAGTAAAACAAAGGAAGATCACAAATTAAAACATATACATACAAAGTTTGGATTATATAGAGAAAGGATAAACAAAGTCCAAAAGTAACACCATCATCATCAATACATCATCACATCATCGAAATATCAACAAAGAAGCATCATCATAACATCAAATTATTATCATTAACATCACCATAAAATCATCATCATAAGCTCAAAAACTCAAAGCTCATCAACATAAGAACTCAAGCCAAACATTAACGACAAAAGAAAACCCCCACAACCCTTATATGCCAAAATCCTTGTCGCAAGCTTGCATACAAATATCCCTAAGAATAAAAGAAAGAAGTAAAACATATGGATGGGGAGAAGAGGCAAAGGAATCAATCAAGATTGGCAATGTGAGGAGAGACATCCCCACTAATATTAAGAAAAGCATTAACCATCTGATCCTCTTGTTCCTTTTGGGCCTGCTCCCTAGCAAGCTTGGCCGCCTTATCCGCCTCAAAATAATGGTACCAATCACTAAGTTTCGGGGGACCAGAATGACCCCATCTCCTGAAAGTCTTGGGGTTAGGAAAAGGGGCCAGGTTCCCGAGATCATAAGCATAATCGCAACCCATGGGGAGCCTATAATCATAGGTCTCCGGGGTGGTCCCAACTCGTTCATGAGGCGGGATGTTAGTGTCTTCCCAATAAGGATATGAGGGGCGAGGGCCCTCATTGGGCTTCCAAGGTTCCCATTGTGGCACGGGGCCTTGTTAAACTGGGAAGTAGGGATAGTTGACATATGGTTCAATGTCCCCTCGTTGAACATGCATGGCATAGATTTGATTATCAGAATAAGCTTGACTATCCAAGAGGGCTTGGTTGCTAGAGGCAACTTCTTGACCATTAGCAATCGAGTCCAATTGGGATTGTAGAGATGTAAAATTTAAAGAAGATGGAACAATATCATGCAACGAAGGTATAAAAGAGGGAGGAGAAGAAGTCTCATCACCCTTATGAGATTAGGGGATATCATGATGTTGTTGTTGTTGGCGAGTAGAAAAAGAAGGAGCTTGAGTAGTGAATTAAAAAGAGCTTTTCTTGAGAGTGGGATGAATTTTGTGTTTCTTAGTCCTAAAGGGGAATTCAAGCTCGTTGTGAACAACGACATTATCATGGTTAGGGACAAGGGACAAATCGATATCCTTGGCAACCTTCCAAATTTAGAGAGAAGAGTTTGTGGTTTGCTTAAGAAACATAGCCTTGATCATTGCCCTTGTGTGAAAGTACATGGGATCAATGCCATTGTCACCGGGGTCTTCAACATAAGGCATATTGGCGAGCATTGAAGCAAAGACTCTATCATTATTAACGTGAAGCATAATCATAGTAATCATGCCGCTGAATTGGATATCACCACCTCTAGGAATTCCATCCCTAATCTCAATTAGATGTTGAACCAAAGCATTGACAAAATTGATGTGGCCAACCGAACACTTTGGCTTGGTAGCCATCCAATATCAAGCCAACTCCTCATGGGAAGGAGCACCGATTGACCATTTATAGTGGAAAGCATATAAAAGAAGCCGTGAGAAACATCGTAGCACCATGTGTAAGATAAAGGAAGATTTTTAATTCCGTGATTGAAACTCACGCTCCACCAAAATCGACCTTCTCCAAAGTGTTTCATCATAGCCACGCTTTTTTCTCAAATATTAGGCTACGGGGAACTCTGAAAGCTTAAGATGAGCCAAGTTGAAAACTTCTCGTAATGTTAATTAAACGATGCAATGGTTGGTGTTGAAGACTTTAAAGGAAAGATATTCGTGTTCCCTGAAGAACATGTTGGCCGCTAAAGAATGCTAAGAACTCATATGTGATGCGCGTGTAAGTGAGGGCATGCTTTGACAAGAAGCCGTCCAAACCAATATTGGTAGCCAAACGGTTAACCTCCTTGTCGATGAAGAATTTCTTAGCCGTATCATCACAATAAATCTTGTGGGACACACATTTCTTTCAATGAGCTTTTCATATAGATCCCATTGTTTTGTAGTAGTGTATTCAATGCCCATAGTATCTTTCACGATAGGGGGCGGAGGCACAAATGGCCTAGAAGAAGATGAGCTATTTTCATGACGAGGGCGTTTTCCACATGGTGCCATCTACAAATCAAACAATAAAGTGGGCTTGGTAAAAATAGCTAAAATGAGGAGTGATAACAAGCACTTACTAAGTTGACTAGCCTTAAGCACATAGGCACCATGACAATGGCATAAGATATTCACACATTCAACCAAACTTGAAAGAAATTTGCAAATAAACATTCATAGTATGGCGAAATATCATGCGTTATCAACAAATTCATACTAATTAAATCAACAACAAGCATACTAGTGAATAAAGCCATGAACATCTCCCTCCATGAACAACAAGTATCTATGACAATGGTGAATTCATAAGAATCAAGAAATAATCCAAACTAAGTATGAAAATCACATAAAAATCATTATCAAACATCAATTTTATCAATAAGCAGGCAAAAGGAACCCACAATTAAAGCATACTCAAAATTGCAAAAACTAGGGTTCTAAGTAGTAAGATAAAATCATGAAAATTTCAAGAAATCATACCTTAATTAAACAATAGAACCTTAAAAATGCAAATACAGTAGATAGAAAAACTCCAAATGCAAGCCTTGAACAAGAATCTCACCAAAATAAAAACCCCTAAATTTTTCAAAAGTATGAAAAATTTGTAAATTTTTGAAAAATAATGTGAAATTTGTTGCAAATGATGATTAAAATGATGTAAGATGTAAAATGATGAATTATTTGTGAAATAAAAAGAGATCATTAAAGGAAATGAAATTGTGGTGAAGGAGTGAAGTTTAGATAGAGAGAGAGTGTGTGTGCGAATTTGGCTGTAAGTAGTAGCAGAAAAATCTTGAAAATGGGCTTGGATTTCTGTTATGCATTTATATAGTTTCAGCAGGGTTCTCGATAAGGTAGAGTTACTCGCGTAAGCAAAATGGCCTTGCCGAACACCTGCTCGTGCTCAGCTGCTGCGCTGACTGCTTACTTGGGCAGCATGGGCCATTCGGCCGAGCACTTTTGCGTGCCCAGCACAGACGCAAATCTTAAAATTTTAATTTTGGGCAAGTTCAATGACATGTCCATGGGGCTTGCCTAAGCTTCATGTTTTTCAACTTAGCCAAATGTCGCCACCTGTAACTAATTTCAATTGCCACCAACACCTCATAACTCCAAAATTCAACCTACAAAAATCAAAAGGAACAATTAGTCATGGGACAATGCAAAAATAATAGAAAAGAAAATAAAAGATAAATGAAGAAAAGGTTTAGAATCCGGGTTTCCTCCTGGGAAACGCTCTTTTAATGTCATTAGCTTGACGTTCTCCACCTATCAAGGTGGTTTGTAGAGAAACATCTTATGAACAAGGCCAACGAAAACACCATCGTAATAGCGTTTAAGTCTATGGCCATTAACCTTGAATGAGGATGAGGAATCCAAAGGAGATATTTTAACCACTCCATGAGGAAAAACACCTTGGACTAAGAACGAACTACTCCTACGGGACATGAGTTTCCCGGGAAACAATTTTATCTTAGAATTGTAGAGGAGGACCTTGTCACCATCATTGAACTCCTTCTTCTTAATGAGCTTGTCATTTATTTCCTTTGAACGAGCCTTGTAGATGCTAGCACAATCATAAGCATCAAACCTAAGCTCCTCAAGTTCATGAAGATCAACCCATCGTTGTTCACCCGCACTAGCCAAATCAAAGTTGATCTTCTTAATGGCCCATTGAGCATGGTGTTCAAGCTCCACCGGAAGGTGACAAGATTTAACATAGACAAGGCGGTAATGTGTTGTGCTAGTAGGGTTTTTTAAAGGCCATTTTATCGGCCCAAAGGGCATCATCAAGCTGTTCCTACCAATTTTCCTATTTCTAGCAATCGTCTTCTCAAAGTTCAACTTGATTTGACGATTAGACACATCAACTTGTCCACTAGTTTATGGATGATAGGGAAGACAAAACCTTTGTTACACCCAATGTTTTCTCAACATCCTTTGAAAATCCTTGTGCACAAAATGTGAACCATTATCACTAATCACCGCTCTAGGAATTCCAAACCTCGGAAATATGATCTTCTTGAACAGTTTCAATACCACCTTATGATCATTGGTTGGGGAGGCAGTGACTTCAACCCATTTTGAAACATAATTGACCGCCATAATTATGTATTAATTTCCATAAGAAGAAGGGAATGGTCCCATGAAATCGATGCCCCATACATCAAACACCTCTAGCACAAGAATAGGTTGTTAAGGCATTTCATTCCTCTTTGATATGTTTTCGGTTCGTTTGCATCGATCACAAGTCTTTACAAAGCCCCAAGTATCCTTGAAGAGATGTGGCCACCACAAGCCACATTGAAGAATCTTAGAGGCAGTTTTTGAAACACCCATATGGCCATTATTTAGGGTCAAAAATACCCCAACACGTAGAACAATCCCAAAGAGACACGTGACCCAATTAAAGGGCGACACGTGCCCCTATAGGAAGATGACACGTGTTAACCATGAAGTGCACCTGAAATGAGAGAAAAAGACCTCTTGAATCCCGAGAAAGCCGAAAAACGGGGCCCCATATAGACACGTGCCTTCACTTGATTGCGCCACCAATCAGAGCACGCCATCCTAGATTATCAAACCCTAGAGAGCACACTTTCTCACCCATATAAATACCCCAATCATTTATGATGGGAGGGGTAGAGAAGGACATATCATTCTAAGGGCATTAAAAGCTCCAAATTCTCTCTACTTTCTCTCTCTAAATTTATTGGTTTCCGGTTACTAACTTGATCGTCAGATGCGAATATTCCATCAACCGGAATATTCGTTATTTTGCAGGTGTCCGCGTCCATTCAGCCGTATTCAAGACCAGTATCCCGAAGGATTCTAAAAAACCCCAAAACATTTGACGCCGTTTGTGGGGATACTCGTTTGAAATGGCTAAAGATGGTCAAACACCCGACCTTGGTGAGGACGAACATGTAGAGAATCTTATTGTTACAATCAACACCAACAATCCTCTAACCGCTTCATTCCATGAGGTTGAGGATCCTCTGGTGACTGCTGGTTCCTTGAAGGCCGCTTTAAGCAAGCTCCAAAGAGAGCTTGAGAGTAAGATCCCTTCTTTTTCTAGACACCCCATTCCAATGACATGAAAGGTCACCAAGGGTGCCTCGGACGAACTTTTCCTGGCTCCTTGAGAAAACGCAGTTGGCTGGGGGGCAGATCGAGAAGTTTTTGAGACAGCCAACCGAGCCGTCCCAACGTTGGAAGGATGCGATGGATTATCTCCGGTATAAGCGGTAGGAGCGGGCACACTAGCTACTCGGGCACTGCCTCCACTCCTACCATGCCAGATGACTTCTCAAACCACACCCACTCCAAGAATACTAGCTCGGCCAGGACCAACAAGCTCATGGTACTCCAACTCCAGTTCGTCTAACTTAACCACTCCAATACCAGATGCCCCAGAACTTTGGCGCGCCACCTATTCCTCCTATCTACGGGCAGAACAGGCAGTATGGCAAGCCATACGACCAGGCAGCTTACCTAGGTAGATCGACCGCAAAACCTCAGCCCATTGATTGGAAAATGCGCTTGTTGAATCTTAGTGACAAGCTGCCTCAGTTTTCTCAAGAAATTCTCAAATCTCCCCAACCAGCAAAATTGAAGAGTGTACTCGTGGGTGCTTATGATGGTACAGGAAACCCAGAAGAGCATGTCACCTCGTACAAAAACCTGATGTACCTGCAAAGTGTTGATGATGCCACATGGTGTAAATTCTTCCCGACCACCCTCAAGGGTGTGGCACAAGACTAGTTTAACAGTTTGCCAGCCGGATGCATCAATTGTTTTACAACTCTCAGTCTGTTATTCATAGGAAACTTCTCCTACAACGTACCCCCTTGGAAGAATAGTCTTAACTTGGTGACCATCGTCCAAGGAAAGAAAGAGTGGTTGTGCTCGTACGTTCAGAGGTTCAATCAGGAGAAAGCTCAAATTCAGAATCTGCCGGATGAAATGGCCTACTCGGAGTTCCTTCGAGGTTTAAGGTATAATGGTTTCAAGTTTGACTTGGTCAGGAAAAAGATTCGGACATACGCATGCATTTTACGGGAGGCCGAATCATATATTGAGGCATTTGATTTTTGTTCTCTTACAATATTAGAAGAGTCGGCCAAGGGGGCCAAGAAGAAACGATCTTCTCAGCAAGACTCGGCGGGCAAAAGGAAGGAAGGAAGCAACAAAAGTAAAGAAGTCTGGGTAGCTGACTTCCAACAGACAAAATCAAAGAAAGCCAAGATGTACAAGCCTCAGTTTGAGTACAACAAGGATTGTTATTCAATCTTGATAGAAATCAAAGACAAGTTCGAGTTTGAGAAGCCTCAACCTTTAAGAAGGCTGGCGTAATACAGAAACAAGAACAAGTATTATCCTTACCACAAAGATTTAGGGCATGACACGAACGACTGCAACAATATGAAGAGATTGCTTGATAAGCTGGCCGAGAAGGACATGCTCAAGTCGTACATTCTAAAGTCCAAGTTCACCTACTCCCGGACATACAAAAAATCCAAGAAAAAGAAAAACAAAGAAAAAGATGATGATGGAAACAACACAGACTTAGGGTTTATGGCCGTCATATCAAGCGGCTTTGTTGTAGGCGGCCCTACCATGATGGGAATCAAGCAGGATGCTTGAAATTTTGAAAATGTAATGCACATTAAAGGGGTAAAGGCCGAACCCTCTCTAGAAGTGACAGTCTGTGAAATGAGCCGAGGCAATATCAAAGCCCTTTATAATGATCCTATGGTGTTCATCTTGAAAGTTACCAATTTGAAGGTTGGACGAGTGCTAATAGTCACAGGCAGCTCGTTCGACATAATTAGTTTATCTTGTCTAAAAAATTTGAATTTTTCAGAGGATGCCCTTAATGATATCTCCAACCCATTGGTTGGGTTCGGTGGGAGTATCATTCACCTGGTCGGACAGATAGACCTGCCTGTCCGATTCGGGGAAAAGGGAGAGGGAAGGGACATGGTCGTTAGCTTCCTAGTTGTCAAAGAGCTTATGGGCTACAATGTTATCACCAGCCGCCCAACTTTCACATCAGCTAAGGCAATAATTGTCCCTAATTTTGTTGGGTTTCGTAGCGTCCAAGACTACGCGGAAGAGAAACTAGCCCACTAACTAAAGCAACTAAACATGTAATCACAATTTAACAACATAAGAGAGAAGGAGAAAAGACGTTCTTACCCTCGACGCGTGCTTCGTTCGATTCACGAGCTCTTACTACAAAGCTCGAGCCACGCAAGTGCGTGAGCCTCCGACGGAGTCCACCCTCGAGACCTGACTCGAATAGCCTCTACCCCGAAGGTTAGTCGGGGCTAGACCAAGAAAAGACTAGAGTATTACGAACTTAAAGGTTTTCTTACATATAGGGAGATGCCTTATTGAGTTCAACTCAAGTGATTTTTCTCAAACCCAAAACTTGGGTATTTATAGAGAATGGAGACTTGATCTCCCTTCTCCCATCAATTTGGGAGATTTGCATTTTCCTCAATTTTATTTTAATAAAAAACAATATAAATTGCAAGATCAATCAATAAGCTCCAAGTGTCACATGGAGGTCAAGAGTAGGTGAGGACCATTTAAGGGGGGAGCTAACCCCTTGCTCACCAAGCAACCCCCTTAATTTCGGTCCCCACACAAAAATAACATACACCAAGCCACATGGCTGGCTGGCAGCCTGCCTTGGCTAACAAGGCTGCTAGATGGCGCTGGCACCAAGGCTGGGAAGCCCAACCAACCAGCATGCAGCACATGCGCAGCCAGCGAGCACACAACCAGCCAGCGCACACGCATGCGATGCGTGATGTTGCTGCTTAGTGCTGCTACGCTAGCATGCACAGCCCAGCCAGCTTGCACGCTGTTGCGATGCTGCTTCTTGCTTCTGCTTGTTAGCAAGCACGCATGCACTGCCCATAGCACAAGCACGCATAGAGAGCTCTTGTGCAAGTGCTATGCGTTGCATGCTTGCGGTAGTAAGGGCCAGCAAGCACTTTTGTGCTGTTGGCCTTGCGATGCTTGCGGCAGGGCTGCTATGTACGAGGCACCAGCATGCTAGCACGCCTAGAAGTGATGCTGGCCATGCCACACAAGCTGGTTAGCGAGCACTGCTAGCTTGCTCGGCGTGGTGCCTGGTCTGGGATAGCCTAGCATTTGCATGGCTAGGCCAACGCGAGGCTAAGGCTTAGCTCGACCTTGTTGCTTGTCTAATTTCTCGTCTCATCAAATTCTAAACTCAACTCGACTCGACTTACGACGCTCTAAGCTCGACATCCCTCGTCTTTGTTCATAATACTATAATGACTTATCTAATCCTTCGGATAGCTTCGTCAACTCGGATCGGTTACTCAATTGGGTGTGTCTCGAAGGATTTAGTCAAGATTAAGCTGTAATATCAATTATACATTAATATTACTGATCGAAAGCGGCCTCCACCTAGACATTCCGATCACTTGACCTCACTGAAGAAGTGGCTTTTTAATAATTCAAAACCCTCTATCGGAATAATACACTTTTGGAAGGACACCATTCCTTTCACATTTGATGCTGATGAAGTTCGAGCAGTCGGACGGAAAGATAGGTTCTATTCAGGGAAATCAGAAAATGGCAAAAGAAAATGCCTACATCGCACGGATTTAGGAAAGCGTCCAAGTGAAATTCTGAACAAGGGTCACTCCAAGAATACCAGGTCTTCCCGAAGCACAAGTCCATCAAGAAAGAGCAAGCATAAAAGCTAATGATCGTCGACTGGCCAGAAGAGTTGAGGCTACAGCCGGGTGGCGATTATACGGACACGACCAGCCTGATTGGACAGTCAAAGTGGACACTATGGCCATGGGCGTGCTTGGAGATGACTTAGTGAATTTGTTAAGAGAATTCAGAGTTGTGTTTGCTTTTGAAGTTCATGAGATACCGGGTATCAGACCATACTTAGCCGTTCACAACGTGGCTGTGAATCTGGTTGTGAAACTTATTCGATAGAAAAGGAGAAACCATGGTGAAGAAAGGAATCAGGCGGCCATAGTTGAAGTAAAAAAGCTGCTGGACGCCGGTTTCATTTGTCAATGTCACTATCCTGATTGGGTAGCAAA